TATTTCTAAATGTATTCACTGAATTTTTTATCCTTTGACTTGAACCAAAATTTTCTCTTATAGTAAACACTTACACTAGCCTGAGCCTATACATTCTCATTATTTCTAATTTGCAATATTTCTTGGCTAGTCTCCCTTCTTGCTTTTGTTTATTTGTTTGTTGTGTTTCTTGTAAAAACACCAGTCTCTCCTGTTTTTCTACCTATATTTCTGATCACTTTCCTATGTGGCTTACTTTCTTATCCTACTATCTCCATGCCACCACTTTATCCTTAATTTCTTAATTTTAAAATATTTTATTTCTCATTACATAGGTAATAATAACATTATACAGGTAATATACTTCACACATGTACAGAGGACCTTGCCATAGTATCCTGTTGAAGTGTATTCCTTTTAATTCATCAATTGATCCTGACCTTCATTCCATATCAATAGAGCTAGAACACACTAAATAATATAACACTGCACGGATTTGTATAATTTATGACACAAATTATATACATTTTATGAAATCTATTCACTGTTGCTAGGCATTAAGGTAAATTCCAAATGTTTAATAATAGGGATAACATTTCAAATATCCTCTTCTATATTTGTCTCATTTTCTTAGAGCAAATTAATGGAGGGTAGTTGCTGAAGCACAGGATCTACACGTGCCTTGGATTCACATTGCCAAAATGCTTCCCAGAAAGGTTGCATCATTTAGACAGCTAGATAGTTATAAAATTAGGAAAACATGAAAAAAGATAACGCGCTTCTTAAAAACTAAAATAGTTGCTAATTCAAAGTATTACCTGAGGGCGAACCATTTCACCTGCTGCAATTTTCCTCTCTTCATTGATCAAGGTAATAACTGTTTTATTAACAAGTGGTGCATTTGCGCCCTCAATCTTTGCAATAATTTTGCCATTCTATAAGAGAAAAGGAAACAGGAAGGAAACTTTCATTGTCAGAACAAGTCAAGAATTAACACTTAAACTGGACTCAGTCGCCCCTCCCTGCTCCCCTCCACCTCCAGTGACCTTCTTTTAGCTATTGTATTTAGTCATTTTAAAGGAAGCTATTACTGATGTGAAAGTTTGCCTTGATTTGGTAAACCCAGTTCTTTGAGTTCTACCTCCAATCCGTCTGTCTTCTTACAGCCAAAGGCATGGTGGTGTCCTCCAGCCCCTCGCGGCAAGTCATCACCCTATAGGAGCACTCATATGCTATATCTCCTGAAGTATCCCTCCTTTAAATCTGAAAGGTTCTGTATAGGCCTCCCTATTTCTGACACCAGGCCCCTTTTGTTCATCTTTTAATACATATTGACTGAACATCTGTTACACTGGTGACTTACCAGGCATAAATGTGTGGAATAATAGGCATGGTACCTGATCTAATTAAATTACAAAAACAACAAAAACACAAACACATGGGAAATAGCACCCATGACAGGTACCACCAAGAGAGATGCAAAGCATTCGGAGCACCTACAAGAATGTGTCCTGGTCAAAGAGATCAGGGAAGGGACTTCTCAAAATCAGGAAGTGATTCTTGGTTTAAAGTTGAAGAAGGCTAAGGTTAACGATGCAAAAAAGAGAAGGAAGAGCATTGTAGACCAAGGAAATAGCACATGCAAGTGTCTAGGCTGGAAGGGAATATGGAAGCAAGGAGGCCATCCATGAAAGTGAAGGGGAGCCTGGTATGAGAAGAAACCCACACTTGGGGTGGGGGGCAAAGGCTTGTGGTCATGGAAGGATGCAGTCTTTGTCCCAAATGCAGTCATACACCTTTGTAATGTTTAAATGGAGGCCATGACCACAATTAGAATTGTTGTTTGTAAAAATCATTTCACCTACTGTGTGGAGAAAAGATTGGAGGTGGAGCAAGAGAGGATGTTTGTACATGAGTTATGAGCTACTCCAGAGGTAAAAATGAGAGACGATGGTTGCTCAGTCTGTGGCAGTGGTGGTGGAAATGGAAAGGATGGAATGAAGTACATGAATGAGAGACTGAGGCAGTAACATGTTCAGGTCCAAGGTATGGTTTGGATAGGGTGTGATGTAAAGAGAAGTCACAAAGATGATGTTTCTGTTTCTCACTTGAAAACTGGAAAAATTATGAATTATGATGTTATATGTCAAATGAGGAGACACTAGAAGAGGACTACGTTTTGTGGGGAGGAGAGTCTGGTGTTGGATGAGTTTCTTGTGAGATGCTTTTGAGGAGATATCAAGGTACCAGTTGGATGCACAGGTCTGGAGCTCAAAGTATACAATATAGCTCAAGATGGAAATGTGAGTTATTGATATACAATGGTGACAAATGAAAATATGTGCAGAGCAAATTTTCTAAGAAGAGTATATAGCATGATAAAGTCAATGTTTAAAGGCTGAATAAAGAAGGATGGACCTGCAAAAACGACAGAGGGGAGGAACATCTAGGAAGGTGAAAGGAAAACCAATTCACACAAGGCAAAAGAAGCAAATGTTTTAAAAAGCAGGGCATGGTCATCATGTTTAATACATCTGAAAAGTACAAATGATGATTACCTGAAAATGTTCATTATATCTAGCAACAGGCTGGTAATTGGATACACTAGCAACAGCAATTTTGGTGGAAAAATCAGACAGAGGTCAGACTGAATGGGTTGTGGAGTTAATGGGATGGGAAGAAATGGAGTAAAATTAAATACAGAAACTCTTCCTAGTAAATGAGCTGTGTAGTGAAGAAAAGAAATGGGTGGTAGCTGGAGGGGGTATGGTGTCAAAAAGGTGTATTATTTTTAATTGAAAAGATTTAATCATATCCAAAGGCCAATGAGAAGGATCCAGTCGAGAAAGGTTTAAATGAAATCCCAAACTATAATTACCAGTTCCCACTAAAAGGAATCTTTCAGCAATTCTGTGAGCTTTCTAATAGCCCTTGAAAAAGTCTTTCCTGCTGAAACTTACTGGAATGAATTTGCTGTCATCTACGAAAGCTGACCAATGCCAAAGGCCACTATTAGATATCCGAATAAACAAGCAATAGGCTTGATGGTGGCTTTAGGATCAGAGAATGGCATTCTTGAATTAATGATTGTGGATGTGGAGCAATGGGTGAGATAATAAAGTCTGAGGTATGACTGTGGGAGAGACTGAATGAAGTTTATTGGAGGAAAAGTCCATTGACAGTAAGGAGGTCAAGAATTGAAAGGCCAGGATATCAAGAGGGTTGCCAATGTAAATAATGAAGTCCCTGGCTGGATTAGGGATTGAGAGTAAGAATTTGAGCCACATGCCAAAGTCTTCAGTCATCCACAGAACTGATTTGAAGGTCAGTAAATAACAAGAGTGAGGTGGAGAAGAATGAGATTTAGCCAAGTAAAACAGGAAAGAAAGTTATTGAAGAAGTCAAAGGAAGTAAGGGAAACACCAATTCTACTCCAGGCCCCAAGAAACACAATCTGAAAATACAGTCACCACTTCTGGGCTGCAGAGAAAATGTCCCAAGGAAGAAGGCAGAATTCAGGTAAGTCAAGGAAGTGAAGCAAAAGCTCAGAGACATCAAAAATCTTAGGAAGTTTGCTAATTGCCTATATCAATTCCAGAGATGGGGGAGAATTGGAGAACTGGGTCAGGAAAAGAATTAGTGTTAGAAGGAGGGACAAAACATGGCTGGGAAGAAGAGTGGACTTCTACTTTGGGTACTGATTGCAGGGATTAGAGGACATAAACCAATTGGCCCCTTTATGGGGAGTGGATATAGGTCTACTGGTCAGACCTGACTCAGATGGCAGGGTGATGGCTCTCCCAGAGCTCCAGACTCCACATGGTGATCGACCTGCCCTGTCTTTCTTCCGCTGTCCCATGCTCCTACCTGCTACCTGCTGCTGAGACTCCTCATTGTTCCATAAGCCCACCAAGCCCATCTGCCTCTGTGCAATTACTTATCTTGGTTCCCTGATGTGTCCAGTGGTATCTAGTCCAGAGGTCAGCAAACTATGTCCCAGTTCAGAGACTATATTTTAGTAATGTTGAAAATATTTACTATCTGGCCCTTTACCAAAAAAATAAAATAAAGTAAAATTGGCTGACCCCTCATCTAAATTATCAAATTCTACATATCCAAATTAGAGCAAGATCTACAATGTGGTTTTTTTCCATTCAATTAACCTGGTAATTCAATTCTTTGAAATGGTTGCAAGAGTGTAATTGAATAGAAGCAAAAAGTTATATTTAAGAAGTGTTTCTTAATGATCATTTCTAATATCAAAAATAAGTATCCCATACTAGAACAGTCCAAGTCCAATCTGTCTCCTCTGTGAAGGATTTATTTCTTTATTATCCCAGTTCTCTAAGTCTGTAGCAGCTATACTCTGTGTCACACAATTTAGCACTTAACTGTATACCACGCTTTTAAAAAATAGCATTTTTTTTTTTTTTGTGACAAAGTCTTGCTCTGTCGCCCGGGCTAGAGTGCCATGGCATTAGCCTAGCTCACAGCAACCTCAAACTCCTGGGCTCAAGCGATCCTCCTGCCCCAGCCTCCCAAATAGCTGGGACTAGAGGTGTGTGCCACCACGACTAGCTAATTTTTCTATTTTTAGTAGAGACAGGATCTCTCTTTTGCTCAGCCTGGTCTCTAACTCCTGACCTCAAGCGATCCTCCCACCTCAGCCTTCCAGAGTGCCAGGATGTTTTTTTGATTATTAAAGTTGTGTGGTCATCACAGAATATTTGGAAAATACAGAAAAGCATAAGGAAGAAAAATGTAAATTATTCATCCTTTCTCCATACATAAAAAACTATTATAAATATTTTGGTGAAAACACTTCCTGTCTTCTTTCTATGTATTTGTAGATACAGAGGTAAGAGTAAAATGTATTACAAAATAGTGATCATACAGATGCTTCCTTATATGGGTATACATGAATATTTATAACCAATTCTCTCCTGCTAGGTACCTCAGAAATTCCAAATTTTTTACTCCTGTAAATAATTCATCATACAAATCTCTGATGATTTCCCTAGTAAAGGTAAACACCATCTTATTTTTCTTTGCCCTAATCAACTCAGTGTGATAATCTAATCTCCTCAATCCATTATAAACTCCTAGAGGTCAAATTATAAAATGTATTAATAAACAAGAAAAGATAAGGCAAACGATGTGCATTTGCTATCATCAGCTAACAGTTCCACAGTAATTTTAAAATGCTATTTGTTCTTTCACTGCAAGTTGGAATCTGATAATACAATTGAGAGAATAAATATTACACTTACGAGACTAAAGAGAAAAACAGGTTCACATTTATCTCTAAAAGGCTGCAAAGTCACAATGTTGTCAGCTTCTGCCTGAAAAAAAAAGTGTAAATATTTCATATAATAACAACAGAAACGATATCCAAGTCATCTGAGACACTTAATTCAAATGATGCAGAGATACACACAATTTTCAGGTTTACTGCAACATTTTCTGGGCGTATTAATAGTTATTTTAAGGATCAAATCGCACATACTGGTAATTCGAGCCCTGCATCCTTTGGCCTCCACCTAACCTCCCTGTTCCCCTTCATGGTACCCAACCTTCAGCCAAACTCGCCTGCCCTCCTTTTCCGCCCTCAGTGCCTGGTCTTGCCCTGACCAACCCGGCTCAAGTGTCCTTC